TTTTTTTTTTTTTTTTTGAAACCTGCAGCATATACGGGTAATTATTGAGTTGTCCATATTATATGTAGATCCATTTTTTAATTGAAATATTGCTACATGATAACTTTTAATTTGTGCCTTCTATGTATGTGCATCATATCGTTATGTTCAGAGTTCACATATTTTGATTTTGATTAATCCATACAATCTTTTAGCCTTCGGTGATATTACATAATAGAATCCGTGCATTTAATTTTTCAAGTGAAAAATGAGGTAAACAATAATAAGATATGCTTTTCGAAAGATTTTCCCAAAACTATATAATATTTATTCATTTATTATCTAACAAAATCATAAAACACATGCAAACAATCACTCGCTTTTTTTATATACATTAAGATTTGAAATTAATTTAAATTTTGTATTCTTAAGAGGTGATTGGAAATTTTGAATTATAAAACATCATTAATATATTTTTTACATTAACTTGATCTAAAGAAATGTTGAAGCAGAGAATCGAATACGGCACCTTCTGTTTGTTGTATTTTTTTGTTTATTTTTATGTGATTTTTGTGGTGAGTCGAGTCGTTTGTTGGCTCTTATTTGTGTAGTGCCGTCCATTTTACTCGTTTTGTCATTTCGTGTGTTTAGTGTCATTTTTCGTCTTTCGTTGCTTTTCTTTGCTTTTTCGGTGTTTTGTAGGTTAAATGGAAGGAGATCGGTTGGGAGTATTGTCTTTATAGAGTGGCATTTTCAGCACTAGCCCGTTCGCGACCCAGACGCCAATCCGCGACCTTGCGAAAGCCCCTAGGAGAACGACAATTCGCGACCTTGAGGCCATTTCGCAGCGCTGAGCGTGCCAAGGCCAATATGCGTCCCAAGTACGCTTTCGCGACGTTGCGCGTGCCAAGCCCCTAGCGCGTGCTGACCCGAGCACCCCATTGCTGATTTGCGACCCAAACCTCATTTCAAAACGTTGCGCGTTCAGTTCATTAAGTGTGTGTTTTTATTGTTTGTTTGTGGTATAGCTATAAATAGACATTGTGTTTTGTATTTTTGTAACAATCCCCCATTTCCCAACTTTTAAGTTGGGAAATCCTCTTTATTTTCTCTCTTTTATTTTTATACTTCGGTTTGGAGGTTCACGACTCGATTTTTCCAGCGAA